AAAAATGAAGCGAAGCAGAAGGATGTTGCTAGGCAACCGAAACCCAAAGCGCGTGTTGCCATGGAGAACGACGCGGTGTCACCATTCGCGTTTGCAGCAAATTCAAGGCCTACTGTGAATCGTTCGACGAAGAATTGGATCATCGACTCGGGTGCATCGAGTCACATGTGTAGTGTCGAAGCTTTTTTCAAAGAACTAAAGCCAATCTTGGGAATGTCCGTCACGCTCGCCGATGGTCGCGTGGCCGACGTCGCTGGAAAAGGATCCGGCAATCTTTTCTGCAAAGACAATGAAGGTAAGAAACAAGAAATAATCTTATCAGATGTGCTCCTCGTTCCAGAACTCGATACAAATCTCGTTTCTGTGGGACAATTGACCGACAAGGGTGCGTTGGTAAAATTCGACGCAAGAAAATGCGTCATCGAGCACAACAACCGAATAGCAGCTGTTGCTGCCAAGTGTGGTGGCCTGTACCAACTAAATGTGTGCCATCACGACCTGAAAACCGCCGCGATAAAACACACGAAAAACTGCTTTCATGACTGGCACCGCAAGTTTGGGCACCGTGACATTGAAGCGATACAACGGCTGGTACGCGAGGGGCTTGCGACCGGCGTTTGCATACGCAATTGTGGCATCAGCGTAACGTGCGAATGCTGCTTGGAAGGGAAAATGGCAAGGTTACCGTTTCCGAAACAATCTGGTCCGCAGTCAACGAAGGTGCTTGACTTGATTCACACCGACATCTGTGGCCCGATGAACACCGTAACTCCAGGAGGAGCTCGTTATTTCATGGTGATGATAGACGATTACAGTCGATTCACTGTGATTTTCATCTTGAAGCACAAGTTCGAAGCCGCCGAAAAGATCCAAGCTTACGTAGTACATACACGTTTCGGCAGGTATCCAACCGCAATCAGGTCCGACCAAGGAGGGAAGTATACATCCAAACACCTCGGACGATTCTATTTTTCGAAAGGAATTTCACCCCAGTTCACGACCGCCTACACGCCACAGCAAAACGGCGTTGCAGAGCGGAAAAATAGAAGCTTGGTGGAAATGGGACGCTGTATGCTACTGGACGGAGACATGGGATACCGTTTCTGGGCTGAGGCGGTCACCACCGCTGCTTACCTGCAAAACCTGCTGCCAACCAGATCAACCGACAAGACACCGCACGAGGCGTGGTATGGCAAGAAACCGAATCTCAACCATCTGCGAGTATTCGGCAGCCAACCCAGACAACCAGAATGCACGTATATTCAAAGTTGTTTTCGTGATATACAAACATATATACAAACAAACAATTCGTATAGAATGCAAAGAAATGCCTTATACGTACAAAAGTGGAGGCCATATACGTGCATATTTTAATTTAATTTTAAAGGAGTTGATTCATTTTGAAAAGTCTTACGATGTAATCCGATTTAATTTGTGATACAGTACGACGGAAAAAAGAGTCATCGCATATAAGTCGGAAATTTGCAATCCATACGATTTAATTTAAACATAATGCGAGGTATGCCATTTTTAAATGCGATTTTGATTTAAACTGTAGCAATTTACGATACTATATGTACATTGTTGTACGACTTCTGGTTGTCTGGGAAGCTTACGTACACATTCCGTCGCAGAAAAGATCCAAACTGGAGCCGAAAGCTGTGAAGATGACGTTGGTGGGATACTCTGGTCACCACAAGGCATATCGTTTCATCGATACCACGAATGACAAGGTGGTGTATAGCAGAGACGCACGTTTTCTGGAGGGAGAAAAAGCACACAAGCACTCGAACAAGCCAATCGATGTTATCGAGATCGAGTCACCGCTTCAGCATGATATCCAACCGGAACTCGAGCAAGACGATGACGAACAGGATGACGTTTCCGATACGAACTCGGAATACGAATCCGGTGAAGAATCATTGGGTGAAACTTCATATGAGCCAGTTACTCCGGCACGCAGATCGGAACGCACCACGAAAGGAGTACCACCTCTGCGGTACCGGGAAACGAGTAGTCTGGTGAAAAATCTTCCACCTGACCCTAGAACGTTCGAAGAAGCTATCAACAGTCCCGAAAGCGCGCTGTGGAAGGCAGCTATTGAGGAGGAGCTGCAATCGCTCCGTGCAAACCGCACATGGGAGCTGACGGACCTCCCTCGAGACCGAAAACTAATTGGTTCTAAATGGATATTCAAGCGCAAGCAGGACGAAAAAGGTGACGTTGTGCGCTACAAAGCTCGATTGGTAGCACAGGGGTTCACGCAGAAGTACGGAACCGACTTCGACGAGGTGTTCGCTCCTGTAGTGAAACAGGTTACCTTTCGTGTTATGCTGTCGGTCGCTAGCCAGAGGAAGATGGTTGTGAAACACGCCGACGTGAAAACAGCGTACCTGCACGGGATTCTCGAGGAAACCGTGTACATAGGTCCGCCATCTGGGTCGAACGAGAAGGGCGATGGCAAGGTTTGCCTACTGCGTAAAAGCCTGTACGGATTCAAGCAGGCTGCCCGCGTTTGGAATCAAACATTCGAAGCTGTTTTGAAGACGATCGGGTTCGAGCAGTCCAAAAATGACTCGTGCCTCTACATTCGTCGCGATGGAAAAAAGTGTACGTACTTGGTGGTGTACGTGGACGACCTGGTTGTTGCCTGTGAAGAAGAAGAAGAGTATGAGCAGATAATTCGAGAGCTGAACCGGCATTTCGAAGTGACGTCGCTGGGTGATATCAGGCACTTTCTTGGCATCGAGGTGAATCGATCAGCTGGAGGAGTGAGCCTGAATCAATCAACATACATCCGAAAACTGCTGGAACGTTTCGGAATGACTGATGCTAAACCTTCTAAGTTTCCACTTAGCCCCGGCCACACACAATCTAAGGAGGAGGATGAAGCGGATAAATTGCCAAATAATCACCAATATGCAAGCTTAATTGGCGGTTTATTGTACGTGGCCGTTAATACGCGTCCAGATATTTCGGCTGCTGTATCGATACTGGGAAGAAGGACCAGTTGTCCGACTCAAGCTGACTGGCTGGAAGCGAAGCGGGTATTGCGATACCTCAAGCAAACGTTAAACGACGAGCTGGTTTTGGGCGTGGATGGTTCATCGCTAAAAATCTTCGTCGACGCTGATTGGGCCGGTGACTCGAGTGACCGGAAATCAACGTCTGGTTTCTTGTTCCGTTTCGCTGGTGGATATGTAAGCTGGAGTTCCAAAAAGCAAACTTGCGTCACGCTCAGCAGCACCGAAGCAGAGTACGTTGCGCTAGCCGAGTGTTGTCAAGAGTTTCGTTGGGTCCGGAGAATTCTTAACGACTTCGACGTGAAGCTGTCATCGTCAGTGGTTGTGTTCGAGGATAACCAAGGGGTGATCAAACAATCAAATTCATCAACCATTAGCCGCCGTTCGAAACACATTGAGACGAAATTCCATTTCGTTCGAGAGCTGCAACAGAATGGAGAGATCGATATTCGTTACTGTCCGACTGATGCGATGGTTGCGGATATGATGACGAAGCCGTTGCAATCCGTTAAACTCAAGGGTTTCCGTGAAGCTGCTGGTGTACTTCCGTCGAAGAGGAGTGTGGGAGATGACGACAACCAGTAAACGCAGCCATGCCATGATAATTTTAAATTTGCTCCATGTTACCATAGTAACCTCTATATAAGCTCGGTAATAAAGAACATTCACTCTCTTATAGTTTTGTACATCGTAGGATACACAAGTGTTTTATTCCCACGATCTATGGCCATTCCAATATAAACGTCACCTAAAAAAAGACGTCATCCTTTGAGTCACGCAGACGAAAAATCACCCGGGTGAAAAGTATTTTTCTTGAACTAGGGGAAACAGCCCTATTATTGCGGTACGTTAGCAGCGTTAGAAGCCTATTGTTGTGTATGGAGACCTCCATACACAACAATAGGCTTCTAACGCTGCTAACGTACCGCAGCAATAGGGCTGTTTCCCCTAGTGCCTAAATAGTTCGTTTCTTATTCTAGTTTCCTATTGTTGCGTACGGTAAATAATCCTAAATGTACAGTGTGAATTTAAACCTAGGCTAACACTAAAACTGCGACTAAAACTAAATTGGACAGCCAGTGAAAAGGCCTATGAAGGAAGGACCACTGATTTGTAAGTGGTAACCTATAAACCTAAACCTACATTGCTAAACCAACCCTAACATAAATTTCTAGTTTGAAGCGATCCTAAAAGGAATAAAACGCTGTTCAATAACAGTGCCGAGTCTTTTTACACTTCGAAACTACAGAAAATATCCATTAGAATTTCACATAACTTTCATGTGTTCTCATAATTGGGATTCCCACCAGCAAATCACTTGAACCTTATGTGTCCAATGAAGTTTATGTGATTTATCACATGGAGTTCATGTGATATTATGAATATTATGTGAATTTCAGTTAAAAGTCATTAATTTTGTAATTGGAAAAATATCATGTACGTTCCCAATGGAAACTATATGAAAACTTTTTTTTTAGTGTAGACCAACAATTGAAATAGGCGGAACAACCAAACGTAAATGATGACTAAACACAAAATTATCGATAATCAAAACACTCTCACGCAAACTAACAATGCCATTCGATAAAGGAAGTTTGCTCTATCAGATGATGATGTTAGATTGCTTGGATGTGCTTTGATTCTCGAGGAATTTGCGTTTAAAGCCATTGTTTACATTTGGTTCCGCCTATTTCAATTGTTGGTCTAGAAATAAAAACAAAATTTGTTATCAAATTTGTCAATTGCGTAAAATTATGATTTCAGTTTGTGTTGATATTAAAATTTGATTGCGATATGCTGTCATTTTGATGCTGGACTTTGCTCGGTTGACGTTATAAGCTAATAATAAGTAAAGGGATTGACGCAGACGTAAACACTCAAGTTAATTACGTTTACCTATAGTCCAAAGTAGCCTAGTATACTTCTTCAAACGATCATCATTTCATTTCCACCCTACACTGTCTACTTCCCCGATAGAATCTGCTCCGCGAACGAATGAAGCTGGACAAGAAAATACACGAGAAATTCCAAAGGTCTCCGGTGCGGAAAATGATCCTATATCCGCCGATTCCTCCTCCTCCAGCGCCCGGCACGGTGGCATCGTCATCGTCCCTCGCTCCGTCCAGGCCAAGACCGTCTCCCCGAAGGCGACGAAACACCAAACGACCATTGAAACCCGCAAACAGCGGTGATACGATTGTGATCGATTCCGAAGACGACGTCGCCACTTTCCAACAACAGCATCCACTGTTTTACGTCGACACGACCGGTGGGTTCAACGATAAGGAAGTTCCTCGCTATGCCAAGGGCTCAGGCGCACCGAAGTCGGAAGATCCGAGCGTGATGGTTGTCGAGGAGAGCATACTCGAAGACGGTGAGATTACGGATGATGACGGGGACGATGAGGATAAGAAGGAGAAAGGTGATGCTTTGAACAAAAATTTAAACAATGAAGAAATTCCTATTTTTGATGATGAAGATGATGACGATGTGGTGGATTGTGAGAATTCGACTGTGCCGAAACCGAAGCAAATCGAAGATCAGTCGGTTATATTTTGTTCGGAGGTAATTGATTTAGATCGAGAAGAATCACGCAAGGAGACAGAGCCGCTGGATTTCATCCCGGTTTGGTTCGATCTAGAGGGAGTTGGTGCTAGGGGCAAATCCAAACGATCTCCGAGGAAGAAAATATTCAAGGGCTTGGAGAAGAAGAAGAAGGAGCAAACGGCAGCAGAGAGCCCACAAGACAAATCTGATGAAAACTTAGCGGAGGCAGGGGAAAGTAGTGGCATGAAGAAACGGTTCGTGGTAATCGATGGAAACAATGTAGCGTTTGCGTGAGTATAATACCCAATTCTAATAGGGAAGGTTCATTAACTTATTTATTTCAAATCAATAGGCATACTTTTGGACAGGCATTCTCAGTCAAAGGATTGGACATTTGCATACAATATTTCAAAAAGATGGGCCATGAGGTCAAGGCTGTTGTGCCACAATTCAGGTATGTCAGCGAACCGAACTGGAAATTTTATTCAGAATAACATCCCGCCCGTCATCTTTTAGACTGAAAAAGGAAAAATCCACCGATCAAAAGCTGCTGGAAGAACTGTACAAAAAAGGCGATATCCTGCTAGCACCGAGTAAAAACCTCCCCGGTCAGAAGTCATCCTCGTACGACGATCGGTTGATCATATCCGTGGCAGAAAAGTTTGACGGAGTGATCATTTCCAACGACAACTTCCGGGACCTTCTGGCGATAAATGATTGTTAGTATCATCTGCTCACTTCCTACTAGCACCGGAAACGGATTTCACCTGTTTTTTTTTTCAGCGTGGAAAAAGATCATCGAAACTCGAGTAGCTGGCTATACGTGGGCGATGGATGCATTCTTCCTGCCCGACGATCCCTACGGTCGCAAAGGTCCGAGTTTAACGGAAATGCTGCAAGTGAAACCTACAGCCCCATCAGCCAGCTCCGATGCCAACGCCAAAGAGAAGTAAGCCATCTCAATAATTTAACTTTGCATTCTTAAGTTCTTAAGATGCGTTCTAAGTTTTCTTATAAAAGTTGTTGATATTTATTATTAAATACTATTAGTTATGTACAATCAAATACCAACTTATTGTTATCACAGCACATGGGTTTACATTCTTAAGAAGACGCCACCGTCGTCGTCGTCGTCGTTGTGGTTCCGATCGGAGTTGTCGTCGTTGAAGACGGCGTTACTTCCGTCGTTGATAAGTTTACTATGACGGGGCTGTCCTTGGTCACATCTTCGTAGGATGGTGGCAGGTCTGAAAGGAACGAATCGGATCAGAAAAAATGCTAAGCACTCTTTTACCATTGTTACTACCAGTGGAAGGCGGGAAGTAGGTGGTAGTTCGATTGGGATACAAAATGGAGCTGCCAGTGTTGGGTCGTGTCGCCAAGCCGGGGGCGTTGGTTGGAATGGTGTAGATTATCGCTGGATTCTGGGCTGCGGCTGCTGGAAGAAAGAACAGATGATTGAACCAGGAAACGGTCACGGGTTAGATCTAGAGGTGATAAACATGTTATGTCACATTTTTCCCTCATACGTTTTCATAGTGACACAAAAGTATCGCTTCAAGAAACTTGATGATTCAAAAAATGGTGTAACAAATGGTGCTGGTTCATTAGGCCGAAATTCTAATAATTGCTCACTTTTCATGATACGGCATCTATATTATTCCAGATTAAGAGAATAATGAGCATACTGAAGTAGACAGAAGTATGTCGAGAAAACCTTATGTTTCAAAGAAAGAAAAATCTGCTATGAAAAATCATTGTCAAACAATTCCTCAGCAGAAAATATGCCTATTTGCGAGATATGGAAAATATTTGCAAGTCTCGGTTTCTGAAAATTTATCTGAGGCTAGTGATTTTAAAATCAGGAGTTCCTAATTTACAATTCTTAGAATGATACGGCGAGGAAGCAATAGGTAATTGCCTAAATTTGGAAGGAGGAGATTTTGCTGGAGGAGTGGATGGAAGGTGTCGTATGCCCAATCTACACAAAGGGCGACAAGTTGAATCGCGCTTCCACGGACCAAATTTTCGCGATTCGCACATCAATTGTTCATCAATTTCAAATCCGCATACGACACAATCGTTCGAGATCAGTTATGGCAAATTATGCACGAGTACGGATTTCCGGATAAACAAGGCGACGATAGATCTAGTCGAGTCCCTTTGAATTTCGAAGGGGGTTACGGCAAGGTTATGGACTTTCGTGTCTGTTATTTAACATCGCGTTAGAAGGTGTGATGCCATTTTTCAGTTAACCGCCGAGTATTGTTCACAGCACTTTACGCTCGAAGACACCGAAAGCTCTCCGATCGGCCTCTTTCAATGCCCACGATTCGTGGCCATAAAGGGCTACCGGCAGAATCAACGTCTTGTACAGCGCGAATTTCGTTTTCGTACGCAAGCTGCGGGACTTCAGCTGTCTACGCAACCCGTAGGAAGCCCTGTTCGCGGCTGCAATACGTCTTTTCACCTCGCGGGTAACATCATTATCGCACGTCACTAAAGTACCAAGATAAACAAATTCGTCCACAACTTCAAATTTTTCGCCTTCTAGCACCACTTCACTACCAACACCACTATTGCTCCCACGCTTTCTATCGGCGACCATGTACTTCGTCAATATCCAATCCTCGCTGTCTCCCTCTTTAAAGGCGCGAACGCCTCTTCCACTGCTCTACGGTCGATTCCGATGATGTCGATGTCGTCCGCAAAACCAAGGAGCATGTGCGACTTTGTGATGATGGTACCCCTCTGCACGCCAGCTCTTTTAATCGCCCTTCGAGGGCGATGTTGAATAGCAAGTTCGAAAGAGCATCTCCCTGCTTCAACCCATCTAAGGTCACGAACGAGCCGAAATCTCGTCTGCAACCCGGTAAACTGGAAAATGGCATCTGGCGGCGTCGCATGAATCACGAGTTGTACCAAGTATATAACGGCATGGATATTGTGAAGCTTATAAAACACGGCAGGCTACAGTGGGCTGGGCATGTGGCACGAATGCCGGAAGAGCGTCAAGCGAAATCAATATTTAGCAGGGAACCCGGAAGAGGACGTCGGCTTCGGGGTAGGCCACGCACGAGTTGGCTTTGTGCAGTTGAGGAGGACATTAGGTCCATGAACGTCCAAGGCGACTGGAAGCGATTGGCTCAGGACCGAGACCAATGGAGACGGTTACTTCGTTCGGCGCAAATTTGAATTCAACGAGTCGTCGCCCATCAGGTACTCAGGTAGGTAGAAGGTGTGATAAGAAGAGCTCGGAAAGACACGTGTAGCACGATCTTCAGGAAGTCCATCCAGCTTCTTGGCTTCGCCGATGACATCGACATCATGGGACGGAACTTTGACATGATGGCGGTGAAAGAGAAAGCTGAAGCAACTCGACTGAAGGGTCCAATCACTGTAGTCTAGATAATAATTTGATTTCAATAAACTCAGTTAGCATTAGTCACTCGACAAGTACAGTTGTCTTTCTTTTTCCCTCCAAGAGGTTATGGGCCTTTGCTATATTGGAGCGGTACCGTAGCAACCAAAACAATTAGGGTAAAAATTTTCAAGCTCATTTTTCAAGATTTTTCCGTTCCTCGTTCCGTCGCGCTATTGAAGATTGAAAAAATTCAAATATCGAGGCAAAATGGAACGATTCTGAATTATCAAGCTTAATGGATCCAATTGTTCAACCTGGAAAACGAAAGTGGAATTCCTGCTGATCCGAGACGACCTCTGGAAATACGTAACCGGGAAACAACCATAACTCGGTGCAGAGCCTAGACCAGCGGATGTAGCAGCAGTTGAAGCGTGGGACAACGGAGATCAGAAGGCGCATAGCACAATTGGCCTTTTGCTTGAGGACAACCAGTTAAATCTCATCAAAGGGTCGAACACGGTAAACGAGACATGGGACATGTTACGAGGACACTACGAGAAGGCAACACTAACATCGAAGGTGTCGCTACTCAATAGGATCTGCGATAAGAAGTATTCTGATGGCGAGGACATCGAACGGCACATGTTCGAAGTGGAGGAGTTTTTCGAGCGGCTGACGGTGGCGGGCCAGGAATTGAACAAGAGTCTGCAGGTGGCCATGATACTCCGTAGCTTACCGGAATCGTTCAATACTTTAACTACAGCGCTGGAGAGCAGAGCAGACGGCGAGCTCACTCTGGAATTGATTAAATCCAAGCTAGTAGACGAGGTGTAGAAACGCTATTCCGGAGCACGTGGTGAATCAGTTCTGAAAGTGGATATGAGGAAGCCAAAGATAACGTGCGATTTTTGTCAAAAGCCTGGCCATAAGCAAAAGGATTGTCGCGCAATGATGAAACAAGAAGGAAGCCAGAGCAAGTCTCGTGGTCAGGATGGGAAGCGGAATGCTCCCAGGGTGAAAGCGGCTCTTCAAGAAACCCGGAGCGAAGCGAAGCTGGAATACTCGTTTGCGGCAAGAAGCAACATGAACTTGGTAAATGCGTGGGTAATCGACTCAGGAGCAACCTCCATACATGTGTGCGAATTTGGCTTCGTTTGACGATTTGGATGGAAGCGTGCAGCAGGAAGTCATTTTGGCGGACGGCAAGAAAGCGTCTGCAAAGGGAATCGGATCGTGTCAGCTGACATTCGTTTCTCCCGATGGTGAACCCTTCAAAGTAGCCCTCACAGGTGTATTGTACGTGCCGAATTTCGAGTCGAACCTCATCTCCGTGAAGAAGCTTACCGTGAAAGGTGCTACTATAGTCTTCGATGCCAATGGATGCCGTATTTTGAAAGGTGAGAAGCTTGTCGGTGGTGCTACATCTACTGGTGGATTGTACTATTTGACTATTGCTCACGAAGCATTAGCGTCAAGAGAGAGCAAGCACACATCAAGTTGTGGCACGTGGCATCGTATCTTAGGACACCGTGATCATGGTGCCGTTCGAGAACTAAGGAATTGGCGACCGGAATCAATGTTGAAGACTGTGGCTGCCGTGCAGTGTGCGAATGTCGTCTAGAAGGAAAACTGACACGTCTTCCGTTCCCGAAAAAGTCAAAACGCAAATCAAACCAGGCGCTGGCGCCGGGGGGATGTCGATATTTCCTAACTCTGATCGACGATTTCAGCCGCTATTGTATCGTGTATTTCCTGAAAAACAAATCAGATGAGAGTGATCGGATCAAGGAATACGTGAGGTTCATGAAAACGCTGTTAGGTAGAACGCCTAAAGCCATCCGTTCGGATCAAGGTGGCGAGTTCCAAAACGACGTGTTAGATAGACTCTGCAAAGAAGAAGGAATCAAGCAGCAGTTTACTGTTGCATACAGAACGGTGTTTCGGAGCGAAAGAATTGTACATTGGTGGAGATGGCGTGTTGCATGGTCATCGATTCATGAAGTAGTTCGCCTCCTCGTGGTGTGCCCTGGAAACGTTAATTATCGAACCCAAGGGAGAGATATTGCGGCTAAACGAACTACAGCAGAGTTAGGACGCTGGAGCCCCATCCAGCTCGTTCCAGGAGGTCGATAAGCCCTGCACAAACCCTCGTTGTGCAAAGGCAGGAGTGACACCGGGTTCTTAGAGTGCTTAGCACACGCAGTTGGTAAGCGGTCACATCTGTCCTGTTTGGCCCTGAACAGTTGGCTGGCTATCACGTCTGCTCTAGAACTCAGGCGAACAATTAACAGCGAACGACTAGAGGAAGGCCCTGCACAGTTGCTCACTGTGCAGTAGCGAGTGTCACGTCTGACACACCACTAGTGATGCGCCATAGCGCAACCGGCCCCCTCCCATGATGTAATGCTTTCGGGCGGTTCCGGGGAGGACAAGGGCCTAGAGCACAGGGTAAGGTTTAGGTTTAGTCTCCCATCCCCACACCCTGAGTTATCTTCTCAGGTGTCTGGGAGCAGATGCCCCCCTGTATGAAAAAAAAGGTCATTGATCCACGTTTGCCGTTGAAGTACTGGGCCGAGGCTGTCAACACGGCCAATTTTTTTGCAGAACCAAACCTTTGCAGAAGACTCAGATCGAAATGTGGAGTAGATCGAAGCCGGATCTAAGACACCAGCGTACGTGTGGATTCCCCAACATAAGAGATCCAAGCTAGAGGCGAAATCAAGAAAACTGGTGTTCGTTGGATATTCTCTTCAGCACAAGCCGTATCGCTTCATGGATCCTGAGAACGACAACCTGACTGTGAGCCGTGATGCAGTATTCCTGATGCCGGAGGAGGTTCGGGCAATCGAACCTCATCAGGGAAGTATGATTGATTATCCCTTTAAACCTATTGAACCTACTAAAGTCGACGACGTCTCCGTTGTTCCAGTAAACGAACACGACGAAGACGGTGATTCCAGTGCTGAGGATTTCTACGGCTACTAGTCAACTTATGATGATTTTCAAAATCAAACGACCGACGATGAAGACCAAACTCTGGAGGGGAGTGGATCAACCGATGGACAGGAGGAGAA